AGTCCATCCTGAACACACGGCTGCCAGACTCATTCACCTTTCCAACCGCTCTGTCTCCGCCACCCCCCTCTGCCAATCCCTCCACTGGCTTCCGATTGCGCAACGGATCAAATTCAAAATCCTAACGCTGACGTACAAAGCTGTCCACCATACTGCCCCGAACTACATCACTGACCTAATATCCAAGTACCGCCCAGCACGCACACTCCGCTCCCTCACAAGACCTCCTTCTCTCTAGTTCCCTGGTCTCCTCCTCCCATGCCCGCCTCCAGGACTTCTCCAGGGTGTCACCCATCCTCTGGAACTCCCTGCCCCAACCCATCAGATTATCACCTACTCTCCTCTCCTTTAGGCGCACCCTGAAAACCCCATCTCTTCAGGGAAGCCTACCCCACCCCCTGCTAACTTGCCTCCCTCCTCCACTCTTCCTACCACTCCATACCCCACAGCTATCTCCTCCTGTGCCACCACCCCCTCCCTCCTAGATTGTAAGCTCGAAAGAGCAGGGCCCTTGATCCCCTCATGTTTTGCATTGTATTGGTATTGTTCTGTCACATGTTCTGTCTCCCTTTGTAATGTACAGCGCTGAGCGAAACTATATTGGCGCTTTATAAATACTGTATAATAATAATAATAATAATAGTGGAGTGTGAAAAATCTTGACTGTATGACTTTAAGTGAGGTATGTGTGCAAACTCCCTAAAGTGGTAGTTCACTGTTGTGATTTAACCTGGCAATGAAACGCTTTCAGTAATGGTGTGTTGGGTAATAGATTATGTTGCTGAGTGTGCTGAACTGCATAGCTAGATCCCTCCACCTGATCTCCCAGTGTGTGAGGTGAATCATCTAATTCAGATCAGGATTGGATTCCTATCGCCTGATGCTCAGGACATGTAGTTCCGGGCGTCGGGCAGGTAGTTTGACAAGTTGGCTTTCTCTTACTCGCTGCAACCTCATCTTTTATATTTTTACAAAAAAATAAGGTAATTTATTTCCTTTTTTGTGCCCTAAAATTAACTTGCTTGTATTTTTTACTGAAATTTTGCATGCAACATAAAAATTGGAACTACCACTATTTTATTCTCTAGGGTCTCTGCTTTCAGAAAATATAGAAATGTTTGGGGGTTTTATGTAATCTTCAGGCCTAAAATGATTTTATAACGTGTGCAAAAATGCAAAAAAGGCTCTGGCAGCGAAAAGGATAAAGTATAAACTCTGACCCACCCTTTCCTGACGAGCAGCCAATCGGTGCTCATTACACTGCAAAGTCTCTCTCCTCCCTCCCAGTCCCCGGGTGCGGTGCTGGAGACAGGCAGGGGAGGAGGAGATAAACAGCGCAATGGTTAAAATATTACACATTTAAATCGCCATAAAACCTCTTTTGTTTTTAAAAGCCCCAGACATTCCTAAAATCACCTCCGATTTAAATACGATTTTGGTTAATTTTTTTTTTCGATATCTAACCAAGTAGATTGTCTTGAGGGACAATTATATTAGGGCCCCGATTTAGTCCCTGAACAAGTGTTTTTTTTCAAAAATGCCACACCCCTGCAGATCTTGGTGGGGGTTTTCTTTTAATAGGAGGTAGCCATGCGGATAGGCTATTAGTGTGAGCACCACGTAATTTACCATCACCCAGTCCTGGTGTGTTAGCTAAGGCCTGACCATGTTCATAATTGGATCTTCAAAAAACTCTGAAATTAAACAACAGATGAGGTAGAGGCATCAGAAATATTGCCATCATTCCTTTTTTGTAAGTGGATGTCTTTTCTTATATTGCCTCTGATTAGTATGCCACTTACAGGCTTTGCCAGTCCAATTCCAGTCCAGGCAATGATGTCCCTAGAAAATTTCTTGTTTTTTGTGTCCATTAAGCACTTATTGTATTTATCAATAGATTCCCTGAGTTCTTGAAATACAGGAGATTGTTGGTATGCATGTAATTTCAAATATATTGACTATCCATTTCCAACTCCTTTTATTTCTGTGCCATAATATTGTTTCAGCAATTCCCGCATGTTCAAGGAGCATGCTGCAAAGTTACTGTATGTTCCCATTTCTCTTTTAAACTGGCAGACGGTTTATGTATTGTAGGGAAAATTTGTATGCATAAGCCAGTTGGTATAATTGGCAAGTTGTATTTTTGAGGATTAATTTTATTGAACAACTACAGTGCTCTCGGTCAATCCAAAATGTTAATAAACCTCAAACCTGAATATTTAAGAAAGTAAAAGTGAGATTTTGGAGAATGTGTGCACATTTATTGGGCAACTGTTAGTGTGCAAAATTATTATACACCTAAATGAAAAACAAAAATATTCCCATCTCACTTGTTTTCAGCTGTTAACCGCCCTTTAGCAGCAATAATACTGCTACAGGGCGGCACGGGTGCACAAAATCACGTGTATATATACACGTGATTTTGCATTTCCAGGTAGGGGGAGTGTGCGAGCCCTACCCGCGTCACCATTCGCGGCTGTCAATCACCGGGTCCCGGCTGGTGATTACTCGCTGGCACCCAGTGATTGCCAAGCATCTCCAACGGGGAGGAGTTCTCCTCCTTGTCAGCTTGCGCACTTCTTTGGCTGGCTGTGCACAGCCATGCCAAACGCTGTGCTTACAGTGAAGCACACGAACACAGCACCCCTTCCTGCCCCTCATGCAGTGCCATTAGTACCGTCAGTGCTTTTTTTTTTTTTTTGGGCACTGATCACTGTATTGGTGTCACTGGGGATGTGAGTGACACACAGTCTGTTCCCCCCAGCGTCAGAATGCCAGCCGCAGTCCCCCTAGAAGTAGCTGATTGCCATTACTAGTAAAAATAAACAATTAAGAAGAAAAGTCCCAGTATATAAAATCCCAACTGCCATTTGTAAACACTATAACTTTCAGGTAAACCAATTAATTTACTCGTTTTGGGATTTTTTTTTTTTTTAGCAAAGATATGTAGCAGAATACATGTTGGCATAAATTTATAACTAAATTAGATTTTTTTTTAAACATTTTTTACTAGACATGTTTAATAGCAAAAAGTCAAAAAAAATTTTTTTTTCTCAAAATTCTTTTTTTTTTTTTACATCCTTTTTCTTAAATAGCGCAAAAAATAAAAACCGCACAGGCAATCAAATACTACCGAAAGAAAGATCAATATGTGGGGAAAAAAAGATGTAAATTTTAATTTGGGTGCAGCTATTCATGACCACGCAATTGTCAGTTAAAGTAACACAGCACCATAACACAAAAAAATGGCCTTTGTCCGGAAGGGGGGTAAATCCTCTGGAGGGCAAGTGGTTAAAGTGAGAATAACAGACAACTCGAAATGTACAAATAAACATTTCTGACATTTAGAAAAATGCTGTAATAAATCCTGTATAATAATAGAAAAAAAAACTATTGGTGACCAATAGTCATTAGCCTGCCATTCATGGAGTATGTCAGTTTTTTGATCTGTCAACTTTTTGTGCAGCAGCAACCTCAACCTCCCAGACACTGTTCAGAGAGGTGTAGGATTTTTCTTCACCGTGAATCTCATTTAAGAAGGACCCACAAGTTCTCAGTAGGGTTTAGGTCAGGTGAGGAAGGGGGCCACGTCATTATTCTTTCATCTTTAAGGTCTTTACTGACTAGCCACACAGTGGAGTACTTAAATGAATACGATAGAGCATTGTCCTGCATGAATGTCACGGTCTTCTTGAAAGATGCAGTCTTTTCCCTGTACCGCTGCTTGAAAAAAGTGTCTTCTAAAAACTGGCAGTAGGTTTTGGAGTTGATTTTGAGTCCATCTTCAAGCCAAAAAGGTCCAGCTAGCTCATTCTTAACCACTTCAATACCGGGCACTTTTAGCCCCTTCCTGCCCAGGCCAATTTTTAGCTTTCAGCGCTCACATTTTGAAAGACAATTGCACGATCATGCAGTGCTGTAGCCAGACTAAATTTTTATCATTTTGTTCACATATGTAGAGCTCTTTTTTGGTGGTATTTAATCTGCACCAGGTTTTTTTTATTTTTTTTGCTAAATTTAATGAAAAAATTAATTTACTGAAAATTTTGAAGAAAAAAAAAATTTCTGTTCAAAAATTTTGCAAATAATTGTTCTTCATAAATTTAGACCCAAGATGTATTCTGCTCCATTTTTTTGTGTGAAAATAACGCAAATCAGTATTTATTTAGTCTGTAGAAGGTTATAGAATTCACAAACTGTGGTATATTTCTGAAATTTGATCATTCCTGAAGTACTGATTGTCAGTCTAATCGGACCTAAGAAATAATTGGACCTAAGAATAATCGGCCGATTTTCGCTCTGTTAGTGGGTCAATGGCACCAGCAATTTTTGTCTTTCCTTTTCCCTCCCTTTTCGGTGATTGGGCATGTTGGAAAATTCATGAAAAAAGACCCATTTTTGACTCGATGGTCAAATCGTCAAAGGATATGCGCATGAGCCGTGACCTGGAAGGAACAAATGTTTCACCTGTTACATGGTGTGAACCTTATGTCTTGGTCAGCCATTTTTCAAAATCATTGATGGCACCATCGGATTACCGAGCGAACAAAGTTTTTGATTTTCAGACGAAAATCGCTTGGAGTTCAACCCATCTATGGCCTGCATAAGTATTTTATCCTTCCTGTGAACTGAGAAAAACGTAGTCTTAATCTCATGCTGAAGTGTGCTAGATGATGAGGCTAAACTAGATTATCCTTTTTTATGCTTGGGATTGGTGATCCCAAAAGTGGTGTCACTGGTGGATTCTCAGTATGAATAGACAAGAACTTGACTGTTGTAACACTGCAGCTTGTTGGGATTTTATGGCCCCAGTAAAGTTTGGGGAAGGTCTCCCTACAACAGCCCTGAATATTACTTATTAGAATCCTGTGATATTTCACACAGAATAGCTGTGAACAGTAATTGAATTGGTGACTGATAACTTGTATGTCTTTAGCTTAACATGGAACAAAAAAAATTTTCCAAATTGGTGCTATTGATTTATGTCTCCTTTTTTACAGGGAAATGTTCGGCTGCAGCTCTTGATGTGCTAGCCAATGTATTTCGGGAAGAGCTTCTGCCACACATTTTGCCTCTTTTAAAAGAGCTTCTTTTTCATCCAGAATGGGTAGTCAAGGAGTCTGGAATCCTTGTTCTTGGAGCTATTGCAGAAGGTTAGTATTTACTCTCTTATGACCTTTTTGGAAGTGCACGTCCCATATCCACCACCATTTACTTGAATATTTGTTATACATTATGCAGATCAATGTGAAAATTGTTATATATATCCAAACCATAGGGTTATACAAATAAAGTTTTTACTGTCAAAGTTCATCCCAATTAATCAACCCAATAAGGCTTATAACATCAGCCACCTCATCCAATCGTGAACCAAAAAAATCTTTCAGTGTGCAGTATCTGCCAATCACCAAGTGAATCACACACTCGCCAGAAATAATGGCTGCCAAGTTCTTGGCAGGAAAAACAGCATGATTACAGAGTGTTTAGCTTCCTTTTCATGCCAGCTCCTGCCTGTGATAGATGTGACGGTTTCCCCTTCTCTCCTCTGCTTCTCCACCTGGGGGCTGTAGGACCAGCCAGTAACTCTACCACTGCAGTGACATCAGCATTCTGCAATGTGCCTCCTTGGTAAAGAATGGGAAGGTGGTAGAGCAAGGCACTCATGACCAACATTCATTCTGCAGTGTTGCTGCTTTAATCTGTCAGTTTTACTTCCTTCACAAAGTTGATAAGTATGTTGACCATTGAAATTACAGAAGTCTGCCAAATCTGCATTATGCAATGGAAATGACGATATCTCAGATTCCAATGCATAGTGCAGACTTTTGTTGTTTGATGTAATTTCAATTAATAAATCTGCATGCTTATTAATTTTGTGAAGCAAGTAAAGCAGCAAAACTGCAAATTGAAAGTTTGAGTGCCTAGTTCTACCACCTTCCCATTCTTTACCACTTCAATGACATCTGCTTTCTGAAGAAGAGACTGTCACAGGCAGGAGTTGGCATGACAAGGAAGCTAACCACTCTGCAAATAACTAGTAGACTGATTAGACCAGGGGTGGGCAAACTTTTTGACTTGAGGGCCGCAATGGGTTCATATATTGGACCCGGGGGCGGACCAAGAGTAGATGAATGAATGATGCGTATGTGTCATCCATAGTAAGTATAGTAATATTCCCCCATAGTAAGCATAGTAATTAATCCCCCATATAGTAATTCATCCCCCATAGTAATTCATCCCCCCTATAGTAATTCATCCCCCCTATAGTAATTCATCCCCCCTATAGTAATTCATCCCCCCTATAGTAATTCATCCTCCATATAGTAATTCATCCCCCATAGTAATTCATCCCCCATATAGTAATTCATCCCCCATAGTAATTCATCCCCCCTATAGTAATTCATCCCCCATATAGTAATTCATCCCCCATATAGTAATTCATCAACCATATAGTAATTCATCCCCCCTATAGTAATTCATTCCCCATATTAAGTCCCCAAGTCCCCCCTGTGTCAATTCACTTACATTTGCTCCGCGCGTTCCTCTCGCTGTCTTCCCGCGCCGTTCCGATGTAGCATGAAAATCTGTCTCCTATGAGGATCTGTCCCCCTCGACGTATCTGCGCATGTGCCAGTTTGAGGCATTAGCAGCCGATCGGCTATCTCCGGCACATGCGCAGATACGTCGAGGGGGACAGATCCTCATAGGAGACAGATTTTCATGCTACACCAGTCTTCAGGGCGGACTGAGAGGAGCCTAGCGGGAGCCTAGCTCCGCGGGCCGGATTAAAAGGTCCCCCGGGCCGTAGTTTGCCCATTGCTGGATTAGACAGTCATTATTTCTGGTGTTATAAGACATAATGTAAAGGGTTGCTAAGAACACCACATCCTGATAACCCCCTGAAGAAGCATTGGGGCGGGGCGGTCCCTTTGCCCCCAACCCCCGCCCTCGCCCTTCAAAACACAATAGCTCATCAGCGGGGAAGATTGCTGTACTAACAAAAGCGATGTTAGTACAGCAATCTGTCAGGTTTTTTTTTTTCCTTTCAGTGTGTACCCTGCATTAGGTTAAATCTGCTAAATACATTCCAGGTGCTTCAAAACAAAGTGTTCAATGTCTTCCAGTTTTATTCATGTATCCTGAGCAGAAAAGCATGTCCCCTGCTGGGAGCTGTAGATTGGGATCCTTTGTGCTCTGTGTGAAAGCAGAATTCTCTCTGGTGAGTTCTGACGTACACTCTGTTTGGAGCGCTCTGGTTATGAGGTAGCAGGGGTGTGTTGGGTCTCTGCAGAGACATTTCTGCCTACCCACAGAGAGCAAGGGTCCTTCTCTGCTTCAAGCCTGCAGGACAGAAGATTTCTGGCTACTTTAGATGGAAAAATTCACTCTAAGATATCGATCGTTGTTTTGGTGCATCGGGGATGTGTTTAGAGACCATTTAAACTGAAGATTCATTTGGGCTTTTAAGCTGTGATGGGAATGAAGCTTGCATAAACCAAATCATGAAGAACATTTTTGACATTTTCTCCCCACTTTCACTCTATGGATGGCTTGAAATGTGTAAAGGGGGAAACAGCAACTTTTTCAAGATGGTGATGAAATGTATACAGAGTACCTATTAATGATTACTAATGTTTTGTGTTCTAGGTTGCATGCAGGGTATGATTCCTTACCTTCCTGAGCTGATCCCCCATCTTATTCAGTGCCTTGCTGATAAGAAGGCTCTTGTTCGTTCCATTACTTGCTGGACCCTTAGCCGCTATGCACACTGGGTAGTCAGCCAGCCCCCAGACATGTATTTAAAGCCATTAATGACAGAGCTGCTAAAACGCATTCTTGACAGCAACAAGCGAGTACAAGAAGCTGCTTGCAGGTATGCTTACTTTTGGTGTATTTTTTGTAACAAATGTTTTTGTTCAAAATTATGAGATATTCATCTTACACTTTGATGATAATGCATAGTAATTTCTAACACTAATAACTGTGGTGGTTCTAAGCAATAAGATACTGTGGTCGATTTTTTCATCATCCTAGAACTACTAATTTATTATAAAGTTCTGTAAAATTGATGTTGGCGTGAGAAACAGTGAATTAAGCTCAATGAATCTGCTGTGAGAAATATGGGAACTGCCATCGTTTGACTGTAATTAAAATTATTGCATTAAAAAAAAAAAAAAAATGGTTTACCTGCTCTGTGCAATGGTTTTGCACAGAGCTGTCTGAACCTTCTCTTTTGGGGTTTCCCACTGTGCTCTTGGCTACGTCTCTTGTGTCTGCCCCCATAGCAAGTGCTTGATATGGGGGCAAATGTGCGGGCTTGCTCCTGAGCTGGGCTGTGTGCCCAGGGGGACACAGCGTAGCTGGGCCCCACTCCTAGGATTTGATTGACTGCAGGAGGAGCCATTTACTTGATGAAGCAAAAGAAGAGTGCTAGATGTGAAGTGGCATCTGATGCTGGTGTATACAAAGCCTAAACACTGTGGTATAATATTCCTGATGTGTTTTGGATACCATTTCATTTCATTTTTGTGTTTCTCTAGTGCCTTTGCTACTTTAGAAGAGGAAGCTTGTACAGAGCTTGTTCCCTACTTAGCTTACATTCTGGATACATTGGTCTTTGCATTCAGTAAATACCAGCACAAAAACCTTCTCATCCTTTATGATGCTATAGGAACGTTAGCGGATTCCGTTGGACATCACTTAAATAAGCCAGTGAGTACATTCATTTCTTCCTGTCAGTTTTTTCACTGGCTGCTTTTGTTTTGTATTAAAAACTTTAGGAATTGGTAATTTTGACATATATCAGCATAGTGCAATATAACTGTTTTTACGTCTGAGCTTCAGAAACCTCCTATGCACAAGTATAATGCTGAAGCATCACCGGGAATTCTGTTTACCCTTGCTGAACATTGGCATGTGTGCAGTGTCTGAAGTGGTCTGGACCATATAGAGATACCTTTTGTCATGAGACTTTTTGAGTCTAATATAGGTTAAAGTGGTTGGAAACCTCTCACATGAAACATGAACAAAGCATATCCTTCAATAGTGTGTGTTTGCGTCCATCCATAGCACAAAGTGTCCTTTTTCCCTGATCATTCTTCCCTCTATCTGCATGAGTCACACTGACACCCCTCCCCCCCAGCACACAGTAGCGTACAACCTGAACTGTGTACATTTCCCTATCCGTGTGTAAAGGGGGGTGTGTCCATACAAAGTTTTCACTGAGCACTGTGCTCTAGCTCTGCAGTGTAAAATATCCGATCTCTGCCCCCTGCGTTCTACTACTGAGAAATAGCCTTTGGTCTGTGTGTTTTAGGAGAATGTAGAGGAGAAAAGGCTGCAAATTAACATGTACAATGTTTGTAGGATGATTTGTTTCCCCTGAGGCTAGTCACTTCAGTGGGTACATGTAGGGGGTTTACAACCATTTTAACTCTTCTGCCAATCATTGTATAAGTATTTTGTATCTGGGTGCAAACAGTTGACTTTATAGCTATCAAGTTTTTTGTTTTTCCTCGATTTATTGAATACTGTATATTAATAGAAAGTTTGTAATGACCAACTCACCCATCATATGTTCATGTAGAGATCTATCCTGGATGTGCGAGCCCAAAATCAGCTCCACAAAGGAAGATTAAATCCAATCCTCAGAGAAGATGGATTTTATTTTAATGCAGTTACGAGGATGTACAAATCATTTCGCCTGACACCCGGGGCATGCAGTTCCGGGTGCTGGGCAAGTGAAGATGAAAAGGTTCTTCATAGAAAACAATGTATTTTTAGATGCCATGTGAATCTGTGCCTTTCGGATCACATCAGATTCGCATTGGTGTGAATCAGGACTAAGTTTCTGTTCACACCTAGGCGTTTTGGGCTCACTGCAGAATCATTGTGATTCTGCCCGCGTTCTTAAAGCACACTACAATCACAATGCTGGTTCAGGTGGCATTATTTCTAATGGCACCTAAAATGCTATTTGGTTTTGCTGCAGTTTATCATGGCAAATGGCATTACGTGAAGCTTGTTTCCCAAAAATGAGCAGGAGCTTCTTTTGGGCACCAAGCTTCACATGATGTATTAAATCGCGCGACAGTCGTGGAAAAACTGCACCACATTTTCAGTGCCATTGAGAATAATGGCACCAGAACCTGCAACTTGCAGTGTGTTTCGAGATTGCGGACAGAATAGCAGTGATTCTGCCTCAGTCCTAAAATGCCCAGGTGTAAATGAGGTCTAATGGAGCAGACTTGAATGCTTAGTACAAGAGCATGCTGAGCAGGCAAATCAAGTGCTTCTGTGTGGGAAGGTTACCTGAAGTAATAGAGGGTTTTTTTTGTTGTCCCCCCTAATTTGGGCTGGAGCTTCATTTACTCACCAGATGTGCTTCTGCTGAACACTGAGAGCCCGGCACGCCCTTCTCCTGATGGGCACCCAATCGGTGCTTGTCACACTGCAAGGTCTCTCCCCTCCTTCCTAGACTCCAGATGTGGTGCTGGAGACAGGCAGGGAGATGAGTAGGAGATAAACAGTGCAATGTTAAAACCTTATTTAAGTACGGCTTTGGTTAAAGAAGTTATTTTTTTATCAGGAGTATATTGTCATGAGGAACAAGTACTGTCAGAAAATGCAGCTCTATATTGAAAGATATAAGTAAAAATAGACAATGTGCCATATATTCATATAAATGCGCTGTGGAGAGAGCTAATGTAATAGCAAGTGTAAAACGTCTATGATGGTGACATTTAAAGTGCAATAAGTGACATATAGTAAATTGGATATGAAATTGCGCAAAGTAATGATATAATGTCCAATATTCAAATAAAGGTGAAAACAGTGACTCCCGTGACTGTGAATGTCTATATATTGCACTAACCAGATAGCGCAAATGTATGTGCCTTTTGAGTTGTCAGACCACTCCTGGTCATCAGGATCTGGAAAAGACAAGAATCAGGAGATCATCTGGCAAACCAGCAGCACGACAGGCGATCAGCATGTCATCTCTCTCCAAGTGGTATTACTCATCCATCTAGCAGGGGGTCATGATCCAGGTATCATAGATACTAAGCCATCCAGCATGTAAAACTCACAGTGGCAGGTATTGGGCACCAAAACAGGGATCCACCTTGAAAGGGGAGGGAATCAGCAAAAAAAAAGCAGTAAAGATGGCCGCTGGCCTCCACGTGGCCCGAACGGCGTGACGTCACCAGATAGGCTCCACCCTACCCTTACCATTAGGCATAGTTAGGCACACCTCCGCTTTCTCAGAAACTCTCGTCCCAGCAGACCTGGAATCAGCTTTGATCGGCCCTCTTTTATTGTAAACTGGAAGCAATGACCTGACATCACTTCCTGTAAACTTTCAGCACTACTTTTAAAAATCTGAAAGCATTCAAAAACACAGATCTTTGTGTTTTGAATGCTTTCAAGTGCAGAGGAGGGATTTGGGGTCTCATAAACACCAGATTCCTCCATAAAAATACACGTCACATGTCTATTGCTGTCACAGGGGATGTGATTGAAAAAAAATAAAAATAAAGGGACAGTTAAAAAAATAAAAAAAAAAAAAAAAAAGTTAAAAGTGCCCGCATGCAAAAGTGAATGCACAGGTTGGTCCTGCATGCATGCAAACAGCAATTGTTCCACACGTGTGAGGTATCGCCAAGATCATCTGATCATGGACAGTAATTCTAGCCATTGCACAGGTGGGCGCAATTTTGAAGTGTGACATAATTGGTATCTACGCGGCGCAACATTATCTTTCACAACAAAAATACATTTTATTTTTTTTTGCAAAAATTCAAAGTATTTTTTACCAATAATCGCGTTTGAAAAAAAAACCACTGCTCAAATCCTGTGACATAAAAAAAGCAAAAACCATCAAATCTCTGCTTTAAAAAAAAATATTTGGGGGTTCCAAGAGTCATTATCTAGCAAAAAAATACTGTTTTTAAAATGTAAACAAGAAAAGTGCTAGAAATGCCTTGGGGCAGAAGTGGTTATAGATATTGCCTAATTTAATCATTTTCTTTTGCCATAGGAATATATTCAGATGCTGATGCCTCCACTTATTCAAAAATGGAATGTTTTAAAGGATGAAGACAAAGATCTTTTCCCTTTACTTGAGGTAAGGCTTCTTTTGGTTATTTACCTAACATCTTGTTTAAGGTTGGTCTGAATTAAGCATGCATGGTTTTGTGTGCGTCCCTCAGTCTTGGAATTAAAGGTGAATAGTGATGTCTAAAGAGATTGTATAGTGGTCTTTTTTTTCTTTAGTTATATATAGAAGAAAAAGATTAAGGGACTTTCAGTGTACTAGAGAAGTCATAAAAGTACTTGTGCATACACTGTAATAAAAAATCGATAGATTTCATTTGAACAGTCTTAAAACTGTACACAGTCCAACTCGCACAAAAGTAAAACCTCTTAAGCACTACACCACCATGCGTCTATTCCCCTTGTTGCTGTATATCATTTTAAGTAACTAGAGCAACATCTTCTAAAAGTACATTTATAGTAAACCTGTTGAATATTTCCAACATCTTCAGGGGTTAATGAAAGGTAATCAATCTAGCGTATATCATACTAAAAGAAGGTATGATAAAATCCTTCCACATGCAATCATGTGGATAGCCATGTTTTCAGGGCATGAAAAGAGAGGAGGCGCTGTCAGGGACCAGAGGAAAGCACATCCCCAAAAAGAAAGTATAAAGGATATATGTAATCTACCCTAATACTCTAATGATAATGTAGAGCACTTCAAACCAGCAGACACTGTAAACAGACATATATGCGGTCTCCTGGTGGACGAGCTTTGGCGTCTTCCAAACAGACCAAAACTTCCTTGCGTGAAGACACCTATACCATCTTACTTCTCAGTCACTGACATTAACAACGTAGTTACCACTTATCCTTCCTGGGTTTCAGTATTTCGGATTTCCACCTTACTCTGTAAGAAAATCTACCGCTGAGACCCAGGGAATACCCTGTTCATATTCTGGCCTTTCTGCAGTCTAGTCTTCATCAGCGTCTGACCCAGGGTAACCCTTAAAGAGGCCCCCTCTACAGAAAATATCTTACAACTGCAACCAGTTTACCTTTGTCCACACTGCTTTACTTTCTTATTGTGCCTTTTCTTCAGGCAGGTGCTCATGTAATCCTCTAATTTCTCCCAATACCTTTGACAAGTTAAAGCCCTAATGCAACCATCTTTATCCAGAGCTCAGAAAAGCCCTCCCTCTTCTACCCCTGTTCAGCCTGAGTCAGACCCTGGTATGCCTGTCCTAGAGGAATATGGAAAAGGGGGAATGACGAGGATGTCAGGACAGCATTGGAGGAAGCTATAGAAGATTCTCTCCCCCACATTGTCACTGTATTGAAGAGGGAGCTTCATACAAGATGCATTGTAATGTTGAAAAGCTAATTTCCTCTGTCTGGAAAAACTTGGGCATAGTACAGGTTGACTCTTTTCTTTCACCATGTCGCTTCCGGTACAGAGAGGCCTACAAAAACTTGCAAAATATTTCCCGTTTATGAACAGATAGAATGTGCAGTCTATAATGACTAGGTCATTCATGAAAGGTTTTTTTTATGCCCTTAAAAATCATTGCTGAATTCTGCTCAGTGCAACAAGTGCTTGAACAAAAATGGGTTATTCCTCTGGTTGACCTCACGGTCTCTGTCCTAAACCTCTAACTGTACGTAATAATGATCCTTCTTCCAAAAAAACTTTTTAAAAAAAGCCTTTTAACCAGTTCCCACTCAGCTAATAACAAAATGACGGGTGAGCGAGACTCTCGGCGATCTAGGTGGGTGTCATATAACGTCCACCAAGATCACTCCCCGCGCAGGCCTGTGCTGTGTTGTGATCTATCACAGGCTGTGACCCTCGGACACAGCCAATGACAGATCTGTGTACCGGCCTGTTGCCAGTATCATGTGACTGCTGTGACCAATCACAACAGGTCACATGAGAATTGGGTTTTTTCCTACTGTCGCCAGTAAGTGTTCCTGATCACCGCCACACCAGTTATATGATGACGCTGTACTGCACTGATTGTGAAAATTTTTAGATTTCTTAATTTTCAAAAAAAAGTATGATAAATTACAACTTCAAAAAACGTGCCATGCTTCTTACTCAATACTTTGGACTGTCTACTTTGTAAAAAAGGGTAATTTGGTGAATATCTGTACTGTCCTGACATTTTTGGGCCTCAGGAAATTAGATTGTCCTTCAGGATTTATGGATTTTCAGATATATACCATAGTTTTTGGACTCTATAACTTTCTTACACACTAATTTCTTACAGATAAATACTGATTTGGGTTATTTTCACCAAAGAAATGTAGCAGAATACATTTTGGCCTTTATTTATGAAGAACAATTATTTAATTATGACAGAAATGTTCAGTCATTTTCCAAGATATAGTGAGATACATACCTAATTTGCATAATTTTCCCTATAATATCCTCCTTATATGTTGTATTTTATTTATTGTAATTTAAGAGCGCTTAGTCTAATTTGTTTAAGTTAGGGAGGCGTGATGTGTTTTTTGTACTAACCTATGATGACACTTGGGCCTCTCTGAGTTGGCTGGGCCCTATAGTCCGCCACTATCATTTGCCAATATATGCTCCCTCTATGGCCTAATGAAGGAGCATGCGTGCCACGTCTACTGCTGCTGTTCCTGGAGCTGACATCACTCCTGCCTGCCCTGTGGATCCACACTGATCAGGAAGTACTGGGAACCACCAGCACTGCCAAGGACAGTGTATTGGAGACCTGTCCGCATTGGGACCGGCCAAGAGTTGCACAGTGGTTGACACTAGTTTGACAAGCGCTCATTTGACTACTACTATTGTGAGTTGCCAGTTTTGTGGAAATAATTTTGCTTACAGTGCTGTACTTAGTCGTCGCTGCTTCTCTCTTTAAGGCTAAATAGATGACCTTATCCTGAAGAATTCACCTCCCTTACTACTCTCAGAAAATATCCAAAAGACCGCTTCAGGCTGGGTGATCACTAGAAATGAGCGAATCGAAGCAGGCGAACCGGAATTCGATATGAATTTCAGGAAAAATTCGATTCGCGTCGAATCCGAATATTTGCCTACTTCGGTGCGCGAATCGGATTTTTCCCGATCAGCCGGCAAAAGTGTCCCTGCAGAGAGCTCCGCTATTTCTGACAGTTCTCTGACAGAAGGAACACATGTACAGCGGTTTGAATTCTTATTTTCATCCTACACTTCTTTCTTCTTCTACTTCTTCATCCTCATCCTCATCCTCAGAAGAAGAGGATGAGGATGAAGAAGAAGAAGAAGATAGTAGATGAAAATAAGAATAATTCCCAAGCCGGCAAAAAGTGTATGTGCAGAGTTCCTCTAATTCTGCAGATATACACTTAGAGGAGCTTCTGCAGATACACTTAGAGGAGCTCTGCACATACACTTTTTGCCGCGCTTGGAATTATAAATCTTATTTTCATCCTAACTTCTTCTTCTTCATCCTCTTCATCCTCAGAAGAAGAAGAAGAGGATGAGGATGAAGAAGAAGAAGAAGAAGAAGAAGTAGGATGAAAATAAAGAATAATTCCAAGCCGACAAAAAGTGTATGTGCAGAGTTCCTCTATTCTGCCGATACACTTAGCAGGAGCTCTGCAGATACACTTAGAGGAGCTCTGCACAATACACTCAAAAAGTGTATCTGCAGAGCTCCTCTAAGTGTATCTGCAGAATGTCATTTATGGAAACAAATAGATACAATGTTTCAACCGCTGTATATTTCTGACAGTTCTGGGACATTCCCCTCCATACAGCGGTTGAAACCGCTGTATGGAGGGAATGTCCCAGAACTGTCAGAAATAGACTATTTCTGACAGTTCTGGGACATTCCCTCAATACAGCGGTTGAAACCGCTGTAATGGAGTGAATGTCCCAGAACTGTCAGAAATAGACAGAAACGGTCACAGAACTGTCCTTCTTCTCATCCTTCTCCTTCTTCTCATCCTTCTCCTTCTTCTCATCCTTCTCCTTCTTCTCATCCTTCTCCTTCTTCTCATCCTTCTCCTTCTTCTCATCCTTCTCCTTCTCTCATCCTTCTCCTTCTTCTCATCCTTCTTCTTCTCATCCTTCTCCTTCTTCTCATCCTTCTCCTTCTTCTCATCCTTCTTCTCGTCCTTCTCCTTCTCCTTCTCCTTCTCCTCCTTCTTCTCATCCTTCTTCTCATCCTTCTTCTCATCCTTCTTCTCATCCTTCTTCTCATCCTTCTTCTCATCCTTCTTCTCATCCTTCTCCTTCTTCTCATCCTTCTCCTTCTTCCCATCCTTCTCCTTCTCCTCATCCTTCTCCTTCTCCTTCTTCTCATCCTTCTCCTTCTTCTCATCCTTCTTCTTCTCATCCTCCTTCTCCTTCTTCTCATCCTGCTTCTCATCCTTCTCCTTCTCCTTCTTCTCATCCTTCTCCTTCTTCTCATCCTTCTCCTTCTCCTTCTTCTCATCCTTCTCCTTCTCCTTCTCCATCTCCAAGGGCATTTAAATTAAAGGTACAGTGTTCTGCACTAATTTAAAGGCTCTCTGAAGCCTAGAAACCCTTTTTATAAGTTAAGTTCGTAGCGAATTAATTCGCATCGAATCGAATTTCTTCCTGGAATTCGCCGAATCAGCCGAATCGAATTTTTGAAAAATTCGCTCATCTCTAGTGATCACCTTTAACAAATCTACTCTCTGGCCCTCCTTGGGTCTTATCCTGAAAACATCCTTGGCAAAGGTCTTTCTTCCAGAAAGAAAGTTCTTTGAGGTTGTGCTCGAGAACTTGGATCCAAAAGAAATCCTTATAGTGAGTTTTGGACCTAATGGTGGCCTCTTTTGACGCAGTACTTTTTACCCAATTCCATTTAAGAACACTCCAACTAAACATCCAGTCAACATGGAAAAAAACTAGCTCTTTTCCTAGGTCTCCCCATGCTCCTACAGCCCAAGCAAGAAAGTACTTGTCTTGGTTGATTGATGACCGCTTCAGCTTTGACAGTAGGAAAATCTTTCTTTCCTCACACAAAATAAAACAAGGAAGGAAGACTGTGATTAGTCTGGCAGCAAATTGGCCCTGAAGAACCTGTTACGCAAACATACTCAGACTTCTGGCAAGGACCATTTGGTCTTTTCCCCCAACAGGCCAGATCCGTTATCCCAAGGTCTTCCTAGTTACTAACTAGATGTTAAAAGGATACAGGTGTTTGAGTCTGTTTTTTCTTAACTTGCTGAAAGTTACTTTCTGTACTAGGGGTAAGACTAGCACTGTAAATACCTTTTCCACTCAGCATTTAAAGCAGTCTTGTGACTTCTATGTGTCCAGCAGAGCACTGGTTAAAGCTTGTTGGAGGAGTTTTAATTCTCTTCTATGAAGCTGCATAACACGTGACCCTCTGTCTTGACAGTGCTGATTGGCACTGTGCTGATCATATGCACTCTCCCAAGAAAAGAAAACTCAGCAATAGCAATACACACCAAACTGAGCATGTTCAACTGGCCCCCAAGTCTCTGTTCCATCAGCAGATGGATTGGGGACAGTAGGAGGGAAGGTTTAGAGAGGACATGATCAAAAATTATTTTTTTCACAATGAGGATTAACTCCTTAGGTTGCACAGTGCATATAACAAGCATGCTCTACTGGATATATAGGCTGATTTTACTGTAGTGGGTTTAGTAACACTTTAGCATCAGGTTGACTGTGTGTTCTCTCCTTGCTCATTAGTAGTGTCCCCTATCTTATAGGGGTCTTTTTCACATCTAGGTCAGATTTAGGTGTTTGTCCTCTTAGGTGCATTGCACAGTACCCAGTCCCTGTTTCAGGGTGGTTCCTTTCTCTTGAAGAGTCTTTTGAAGTCACTCTTTCATGCAGGGACTAGTTATGTTTCCCTACACTGTGTGCATCAACAGGGAAACACTCCTCTGCCCCTCCCATGCTAACAGACTGGTGTAAGGTGGACTGTCCTGTGAAGACTACAGGTTCAGGGAAGCGGCACTGAGAACAGGAGTCAGCAGTATTAAAGTTTGTTGGAGTAAGAATTTTGACTAATGGCTTGCTAGGGAATGTTTTCATTGTGCTAAATTTGCAAAGCTGAAAATACCGTGGGTTTAATGATGGGTCCATATAGGTTTTTTGGGGGGTTTTTTCCCCTGTAAGTATCAATATTAATTTTTTTTGCAGAACGTGTTTTTTTTTTTTTTTTTTTTTTTTTTTTTTTTTTTTTTAATGGCTCAGAGTGAAAGTATAAGACACATCTATGTGTAAGGTTTTTCAAGAAAGCATCGGGAGATAAGTATTGCACTGTCCATTATGTGAAATAGGTTTGGAAAGTTAAGACTGTTCACCTGAAAAGTTAAAGAGATCACAATACTATGTGCTCTTGCACAAAAAGTAATCTGTGTATATTTTTCATTATGTTTCAGTGCCTATCTTCTGTTGCTACTGCACTTCAGTCTGGTTTCTTACCATACTGTGAACCTGTATACCAGCGTTGTGTGAACTTGGTACAAAAGACTCTTCAACAAGCAATGGTAATGTTTTATTAACATACGTTTACACAATGGCATACTAAAAGGCTGCGTCTGTCTTTGCTACAGTTTTTCTTGAACTCTTAATATCTGCGTCAAGTGTGCTTGTTTATATAAAATATGGGGCTTTTAGTGCATACTGCAGTAATTTTTTTCCATGAGGTCTTGCATCTTGATAGTGATGCCTGCCAGGTTTTCTACAACATTGGAAATATGTTATAGCATAAATTGTTCTGGGTACCTCATAATGCTTGCATGTTATAAGACATTTTAAATGACTATCGCTATCCAACCGTGTGGCAGCAGTTTGGGGAAGGCCATTTTCTGTTCCAGCATAATGGTGCCTGGGCACTTTGGTGCCCTGCCCAGAGACTTAACCTCCACCCTACTAAACATCCTTGTAATGATTGGAATGCTGATTGTGAACCAGGTCTTCTCTACCAACATCCGTACCTTACCTCACTATTTATTTAAATTTTTTTGAATGGCTGTAAATTCTCACAGACACCCCAAAGTCTGATGAAAGAAGAGTGTTAAACCTACAAAGTGGGGCAGAAACTGTTATTATTGCTCATAGTTTTGGAATGTCCAACAGGCTGATATACGCTATATTGCCAAAAGTATTGGGACGCCTACCTTTACACGCCTATGAACTTTAATGACATCCCAGTCTTAGTCCGTAGGGTTCAATATTGAGTTGGCCCACCCTTTGCAGCATCGCCCACCTCCTGAACAACATTGACTGGATGTCGTTCCATTTCCTCAAGTTAAACCGGTCCAAAACCGAGGTCCTAGTTTTCCCCCCAGCCCGCGCCCCCCATCCTCTCAATCACGACTAGCAACGCCACCATCAATCCCACCCCACACGCCAAAGTCCTGGGTGTCACCCTGGACTCAAACCTTTCCTTCCAACCTCATGTCCAATCACTATCAAAGTCATGCAGGCTCCACCTTCGCAACATCTCCAAGATACGTACGTTCCTCACCCCAGACACTACTAAACAACTTGTACACTCCCTCATTATCTCACGCCTGCCTACCCCAATCCATCAGACTGTTACCTACCCTCCTCACTTTCAGGCGCACCCTAAAAACCCATCTCTTCAGGGAAGCCTACCCCACCCTAACCTAACAACCGATCTCCACTACTCCTACCACTCCATCCCCCACAGCCACTTCCTCCTGTACCACTATCCCCTCCCTCCTAGATTGTAAGCTCGAAATAGCAGGGCCCTCGAACCCCTCGTGTATTGTATTGTACTGTTTTGTCTCATGTTCTGTCCCCCACGCTAATGTACAGCGCTGAGCAAACCCTTTGGCGCTATATAAATACTGTATAATAATAATTAACAGCTTCAACTCTTCTGGGAAGGCTGTCCACAAGGTTTAGGAGTGTGTCTATGGGAATGTTTGACCATTCTTCCAGAAGCTCATTTGTGAGGTTAGGCACGGCTTTCGGACGAGAATGCCTTGCTCGCAGTTTCCACTCTAATTCACCCTAAAGGTGTTCTATCGAGTCGAGGTCAGGCCAGACAAATTCCTCCACCCCAGTCAGTCCTGTTGGAACAGGAAGGGGGCATCCCCAAACTGTTCCCACAAAGTTGGGAGCATTAAATCGTCCAAAAGGTCTTGGTATGCTAATGCCTTAGGAGTTCCCTTCATTGGAATGAAGGAGCCAAGCCCAACCCCTGAAAAACAACCCCACACCATAATCCCCCCTCCACCAAACTTTACGCTTGGCACAATGCAGTCAGGCAAGTACCATTCTCCTGGCAACCGCCAAACCCAGATACATCCATCAGATTGCCAGACAGAGAAGCGTGATTCGTCACTCCAGAGAACACCTCTCCACTGCTCTATAGTCCAATGGCGACGTGCTTTACGCCACTGCATCCAACACTTTGCTTTGCACTTGAAGTAAGGCTTGGATGCAGCTGCTCGACCTTGGAAACCCATGTCATGAAGCTCTCTACGCACTGTTGTGGTAATCTGAAGGCCACACAAAGTTTGGAGGTATTTACCTATTGACTCTGCAGACTGTTGGCGACTTCTGCGCTGCAGCATGCGCTGACCCCGCTCCTGTCATTTTACGTGGCCTACCACTTCATGGCTGAGTTACTGTTGTTCCCAGTTGCTTCCACTTTGTTATAATACCACTAACAGTTGGAATATTTAGTAGCAAGGAAATTTCACAGATGGAATTGCACAGGTGGCAACCTATCATGTGTGGTACCCTTGTTGAATTCATTGAGCTCCTGAGAGCGACCAATTCTTTCACATATGTTTGTAGAAGCAGTCTGCATACCTAGTTGCTTGATTTTATACACCTGTGGCCATGGAGGTGATTAGAACACATGAATCCAATGATTTGGAGGGGTGTCTCAATACTTTTGGTAATATAGTGTATATGTGATGGTCAGGCGTTCCTCAGGCATTTGGCTATATAGTATGTATGTAGATAAAAAATAAAAAACATAATTGTAGTGTCATGTTCCACTGTAATTATTATTATACAGGATTTATATAGCGCCAACAGTTTGCTCAGTGCTTTACAATATAACGGGAGACAATACAGTTCAATACAAGAGGGATAGGAGGGCCCTGCTCCTTGGAGCTTACAATCTAGGAGGGAGGGGCTAGTGGTACAAAAGGTAGTAACTGTGGGGAATGGACTGGTTGGAAGAGTAGAAGATTCCATTATTAGCTGAAGAGAGACGTTTTCAGAGATCGCCTAAAAGTGAGCAGGGTAGGCGATAGTCTGATAAATTGGGGTAGTGTGTTCCAGTTGATATAGAATGCAATTTTGTACAGTTATGGTTTTTACAGAATTTCTGTAGTTTAATCACTTCAGAAACAGCAATCTCCTTGAATTAAAGAAAAAAACAATGATTTTAACCGGTGGTCTCTAAACTGCGGCCCTTTTACTTGCCTTTATCCAGTCCTTGAGGCATTATTTCTGCTACTGACATCAACAATGGGGCATTATTCCTCCCACTGGCACTAAATGTTTCTTCCCTTAATACCCAGGAAGCTTTATTTACTCTCAGCGGGCACAGCCATGCCCCCCCCCCCCCCCCCCCCCCCCCCCCCCGGTTTTTATATCTATAAAAAGTAGCAACATTTTATTTAATTTCAGATGCACAATGCTCAGCCGGACCAGTACGAGTCTCCAGATAAAGATTTTATGATTGTGGCCCTAGATCTACTGAGTGGGCTAGCTGAAGGGCTTGGTGGTAACATTGAACAGCTTGTGGCTCGGAGCAACATCCTGACTCTAATGTACCAGTGTATGCAGGTAAGAGATCTGCCTGTGACAGAACAGTAGAAAATGTTACCATCTGTTCCTAAATCTTAAGTCGTTTTGTATTGCAGCCTCTTAACCTCAGTGTAAACTTTGTTTCCCTAGGATAAGATGCCAGAGGTGAGGCAAAGTTCTTTTGCATTATTGGGAGACCTTACCAAGGCATGCTTTCAACATGTCAAATCATGCATTGGTACGTATGTTACTATGCTTTCCTATTACAGTTAAAGCCACTCTGTCACAAACAATAAATATACAAAAAAATATTCTATTAAAGGGGTTATACATGCACCCGTACTTCTGGTCTTCACTGTTTTCAAGAGCTACGTCTGCTGAAGAATCTTTAGTATCTGCTGGGAGCATAAGATGCCTGATCCTCCACCCCATGCACTGTGGCTCCCACCCTCTGATTTCCACTCACTGCTGTGTCCAGCACACTTTGGGAGACTGGGCCTCGAACACTTTTTTGTAAGTTTTAGATGCTGAAGATTCTTCAGTTGACATAACTGTTAAGGAGAGCAAGACATGGGTGACATAAGTATAATACAAAAAAAAAAGATAACCATGTAAAAAGTAGTGACAGTTGCTTTAACCTTAGAACATTTAATACTTGAGAATTTTTATTAAACATACTTAGTTTCTTTTTTTTTTTTTTTTTTTTTTTTTATAGCGGATTTCATGCCTATCTTAGGAACAAACCTAAACCCTGATTTAATTTCTGTATGCAACAATGCTACCTGGGCAATTGGTGAAATTTCTATACAAATGGGTAAGCTTTACTTGGTGTAAAACAGGTGGACACTTGACTGCTGTCATTAAGTTACTCAATTTAGGTATAGTTCAGAGGTGTTTAAAGGAAATGATTGTAATAATTTTGTGAATTGCTAGTGTTCTAAAAAAACAAAAAACAAAAAAAAAAAACCATTACTGTTATGCTATACTCGAGTCCACTCTGTTTTTGAACATGAACTCTTGCCATTGTGTTGTCTTCTTTCCCCCCCCCCCCCCCCCCCCAATTGGGTATTTATGGTTGCTATTTCCCCTTGACAAAAAACATTTATCCCTAGCTGTATGGGGGGGAGCCCCACTGAAGGGGGCATATTTTAATGTTGAGCTTTTTAAAGAATGCATCTGATGGGGTGAAGAATCTGACCATGCCATTTTATTTAATGTTCCTCCTTTTTGTGCATTCTTTTTAGGGATTCTTGGCAAGTGCAAAATGTGGCATAGCAGGTGGCCAAGCCTATTCTTGCTTTACAGGGATGAAAGCCAAGTTGCTGGCTATGTCCTTTACTACTTGGTGTGCCACTGCCTTGTAGTGAAGCAGTCACCGGTTATGCATGCTTGGTAATTGACAAAGAATCTGTCACTTTTGTTTTCAAAGAAGTTTAACTGAAATTTTAAATTTTACCAGCAAAAAAAGTAACATGTTCTCTCTCCTCACCTTCAAAGCGTTAACCTGAATCTGTCACTTTTGAATGTCATATTCATCAGTTTTTATGCAAGTTATGCAGTTTATTTTTCAATATGGTTTGTCTAAATCACTTTTTCAGAGCTACTGTTTTCCAACTGCAGTACTTAAACACCTCTTTCCTCTTATTTTCCTTAGACCTGTAAGTGACAAGCTTAAGCTCAAGTCCAGTAACATTTTGTAGGCAGTTACAGCAACAAGTTTTTTCCTTTTAGAACAAAGTTTAAAAACCATATCAATAAAAGCCAGCCTTTCTAAGCCCACCTGGCAGTGTTGTATGGCTTGTCCCATCGTCTGTAACTGGGACGTCTGTCCTTTTTTTTTTGTTGCACAGCTTGGCTTGCATATAGAGGTGGGGAAAAAATATAAGGGCACATGAAGGGAAATATGGGAATTCGTATACTGAAAATGATCAGGTATTACCCCATGCAGATACCAAAAATACAATAATCTGATTACCACTTTAAGCCAGCCATACATGGATCAAACTTCAGCTGGTTCAGCAGGGACCGGCTGAGATTTGATCCATGTATGGACAGGTTTAAGGTGGTGATTAGATTACTCAATTTTACCAAAGTACAATAATTTATGGGTTGTATTATTCATTCGGTGGGTGGGATTGTTACACAATCAGTTTCCCTTTAACATTTTTGTTGCTCAGATGGTGTCTGTGCTTTTAAGCTGCATTTTTTTTTTTAAATAACATATTACCCTTTTAAGTTGCATAAATGTAATAGCTGGTGAGAGTTTGATTTGACATTTCCCTAGATCAGCTTTTCTCAACCTTTTTACTACAGATAAACAATTTTTTTTAGGTCTCAGGTAACACCTGTTAAAAATATTAGTTGTCAATATAAATAAATTTACACATGCATACCTAGTGTATTTGGCATTCAGAATTTACCGTTTTTTTAACACTCCATGTTTTAGAAGGAAAAATTGTTGTCGAAATTATTAACTGCCAGAAAAGAAACCAGACAGTGATAATTGTTGTCATTTTACATTAGTAGCTAATAGAGAAGGACTTACATTGGTGGTCAGTGTAAAAGGGCTTTCCTGCATTGGTGGTTAGTGGAAATTGACTGCATACATGTCCACTGGATGAATGATCCCCTCTTACAGAACTACCATTGGTTTCTTACCTGAGAGATGAGAGGAGAGGTTTCACTGCTGGCTAGTGTGAGATGTTGATGCTAAAACTTGGCAGGCTTCAAAAAACCACTATTCAGGGAACCCATGTTAACCTCGGGTGGACCTGGTTGAAAAGGCTGCCTAGGCTTTTATCACCCAAGTTTTAATCTGGTAAATTTATAAAGGTATAGGAGGGCAAGAGAGAGCAGAAATACAGTAACTGCTTTTGTGGAAATCTTTACTGCACCCTGATAATTCTTTTTCCCTTTATGAATTCTTTAATAATTGGCTCTGAATGCAACTCTATTTGGCAACATGAGGAGCTGGTGTAGGAAAGGCCTTTTCAACCCCCAACTTCCTGTTCTAGTTGGTATGCTGAGACAATCTAGCTTATTAGAGCTGCCTTGAAAGAGTGCTTATAAAGGGCATTTGGTGTAATTGCTGATTTTATCACTTATATGGAAAAAAACTCGTAAGCTCTTTCGACTGACTTTCAATACTGTCATATTTACTTTAACCTTGTTTTAATCCTGCCACCTAGTCTGTTGTGCATTCATCCTGGTATACTGTGTGTGTTTTATTTTAAAAATGTTTTCTTTCCTGTCCTTTGAGAGACACAGGAAGTCTATAACGATCAGGTTATGCTACCTCCTGCAAGATATTTGGACTCTGGCAAACAAGACTGCAATCCAGCCCAGATTATCCCCTCCCCTGTACTAGCATGCCTCATTTTTTTTTTTTTTTTTTTCATGTCATAGGAGGATCACTGCTGAAGCTTGCCTCTTCAATTGCAGCGATATGACATGGCTGTTCTTAGCCTGGATTTAAAGTGTTGTGTCTGAATTCCTCTGTGCTGGACATGGATAGTCTTGAGAATGACATTTGAGCCCTACGTTCAACATAAAGCGCTTTCCAGTGACTCCCTTATCATATTTAACACTTTCCAGGTCTATAGGAGCTTCCATTGCTTTAGCACTTGGCCTGTCTATAAAGATGCCTTAAAAATTTCCCTCTTTTCCGCATCTTTCCACTGTGGAAGGAGTTTTGTTTCCTGCTCCTTGCTTTTCCACCTTAAAATTTCCTGTCGCTGTAGAGATTAACAGATTTCTGTAGTGCCCTCCATGATCTTATGCACCAATGTGTCATTACCCCATTTCCTATGGTAGAAAGATTTTAAGAATTTTACTCCAAGCTAGTCAGTTTCCAGTCTCTCTGAGGGCACCACCCTCTCTTGGATCTCAAAACTCTGAATGTCTTCCTTTGTGTTGAGAAATTCCACTTGGAGTCTTCTAGTTCTTTGTTTCAATACATTTATCGAACTTCAGTGGCACAAGTGTAAATGTCTTAACACAGGGTACAATAAGAGAGTACAAATAAGAGTACATCAAATTGCTGCACTTGACCATTCTGTGTATATTTCAAGTTACGACGCAAATAATGAAAGGTTAATTTTGGATGGGACTCTACATACTCTAGATATCTACAGTAGGTCTGTAAATATTTAAGTGTCCCAACACAGGGAAGATCCCTGAGGCCTAAACCAAGGCAAGGAGGCTGTGTATGACAAAAGTGACAAATCCAAAAAAATAGAAATAATTGAACAGAGAAATAGTTTGTAAAGTGAGAGAAGGGATGCCAGGAAGGTAAACGGTTGGAGAATTAAATCGTACATGGATTCCATGCCTTTTTATTTAATTTTTTTTACTTTATCCTGTAAGATAGCTGCCAGCTTTTGATTAAAAAGTACCATGACCTTTTATTTCACCTGTGACCAGAGTTCCAAACCAACATGGTCTTTCTAAAGTCTGTTTAGTGAATGTAAAGATAAGTCAGGAGCTTAAATTGGTGTGCGGTGCATTGCAATGGTTAATTTTTAGGGACGCTAAAGCCCAAGACCATGTAAGCTAGTTGATAACCCCTAGTATAAAAGTTTGGTTCTTTCACATTCTGACCAAATGTGTTCTAGAATACCAGGTTCTCAACCCTGAAAGCAGAGGTTTGAGGTGCCCTAGACAAATTTGGCCAATCTTTAAGCTACCACTTAACACCTAAACAAAAGCTTATATTTGCCTTCAATAAATGAGTTTAACAATACATGTGCAATTGTATCGCAGATTTGGACCCACTGGTGCGGCTCCAGTGGTCCGCCCAGGTCTTTTTCCCACCAAAAGACATAAGGTAGGGGTATGACAGATTGTCCTCCAAAGGGGAGTTATAGATTGAAGATAGTATACCGTTTTTAGAAAGTGGATCGTGCAGGCAATATATGCTTAAAAGTGGTGAGAGTCAAAAGCGATTGTCTTTTATGGTCGACTGTACTTTTTTACAAATTTGAAGATAATTAGTTCTACAGATGGAGCCTGGTGTGAAGATTTACAGTGAAGAGAAATTTTACAAATCATGCACCCAGCGAATATCTGTTTTTATACCACCACAAAAATCAACATGGCTCATTGCATCCTGGGGAAAAAGATTGTTAGTGAGGGTTGCAAGGGATGTAAGTAGTCTCCTAGAATATTTTACAGAAACCCTATTATTTTGCTAGTGCTAGCGCACTGAATTATTGTTTGAGAGTCAGGAGCTGTCGATAGGACAGTGTCTATTGCCAGGAGCCTGACCAGGTATTCTCTGATGCTGTTTTAAAATGGAGTGTATGATAAAGAGGCCAGGGGGGTAATTTGTGCTGCTAGGTAGTAATATATGGTATTGATGATCTCCCTTTGGCCATTGGGAAAAATAAAATCTTTTTAGAGACTTCATCTAAAATCTTGCCACATGAACCTTTTACATGCCTGTTGAATCGACTGTGATAACTGGAAGGGAATTTATGAATGGGAGGACCCTGAATTTACAGTTGTCTTTTCCAGCCAAGATATTACATTTTTCCTCCAGGATTCAGTTGTAGATACGATTTGTAAAAAAAAAACTGGTTAACTGGATGTAAAATCTTTAACAATGATAAATCTTATGAAGACACCCAACGATAGGGAAAGTTATCTTTGAGAGATTGGATTTGATCCTCTGTAAATATAACACTTAAGATCATGGATTTTGTTAACTAGCAATCCTGAAATAGCTGAAAGTCATTTAAGATTTGAATAAGGTTTGAAAGCAAGATAGTGGAGTAGTAAGAAACAAAAAGACACTGTCTGAAAAAGACACAACTTATGTCGGTATCTGGCCACCCTTGTGCTTTGAATGTCCAGGTTGGCCTTAGTACTGAAGGACATGTTTCAATCGCAGGAGCGAATTATTTAGGGGTATAGAGGGCATCCCTGTATTGTACTCCAAAGAACAGGAAAGTGAGGTGATCCAAATCCTGCATAATGTGTAAACACCTTTTGGTTATCTTGTAAGGCCCTTATGGCCTTCTAGTGTTCCTCGTTGCTCTGGACTGGCTCAGGCAGATGTTGAATGTGACTTGGTAAGACTTCTAGTGGATGCTCTGTGGGCTCTGCCAGGTCATCAGGATTTTTTTGTCTCAGAGAGATTTGCCATCCTGCTTTGTCTGCTGGCTTTAATGCAATGGCTCTTGAAGCCCAGGTTTTGAGATGGGGATATCTCAATCTGATTTCTATGGTGTTATAAGCTAGGGAACCCTCTTTCCAACAAGGACTGTCATCAGACATGAAAGGGATACTTTATATATTGCAAGTGTCTCAAGGTTTCCACCCTCGGTGTTTCTCTGAGGGACAAATCCTTTCATTCCAACAGTTGGGTCTGGATCAGCATTGTCTCTAAACGCTACTTAAGGTCAGGTTCCTGTCTTTTTTCATGCTCTATTTTGTTTCAGAGACCGTTGCGCACACAAACTTTAAGCTTCTCCTGTTCCAGGGTGACTGTGAGATCTGAATCTGGTTCTCTCTGTGCTTCACAAGCTGCTGCTTGAAGCCATCAAACATTCTTCTTTCTACTCCCACCCACAAGGTGGTGTTCCTTGTAGCCATCATCTCTGTAAGGCAAATGTTGAATTTGTCATCCTACAGGGAGCTTTTTTTTCTGATTTTGCATGTGGACAAGGCGGTTTTGGGACTTTTTTCTGCCTTTCACCTCAACATGCTTTAGTTGTCCAAAAGGAATTTCCCTCCATTGTATGGTTGTGGCTTTGGCTGTCCGAGTTTTTCTTAGCCACTGCTTTTAGAACGGCTGATTCCCCTCTTCATCTCCAAGGTGATGCAGACTGATTTGTAATTTAAGCTTATGGACTCGAGGATCAGTTCCCACCCTTTCCTGTCAAGGCACACTCTGCTAGGTCAGTTAGTGCTTCTTGGGCTTTTTCCGCTTCAAGCAACAGTTTTCCTCTTTGCAGCATAGTCCCCTGGTCTTCTGTTTATATGTTCTCAAATTACTAGCAGGTGGAAGTCCCAAAGGTGAAATATTTCTTGTGTCCCTCAATGGATAAGAAAAAAAAAATTGGAATTTTGTACGTGCTGTAAAATCCTTTTCTTGGAGGTATATGCTTTTCTACCTAGTTGTGACATGCTAGTAGCTGAACGTGTTATCCCTGGCTGGCCTACTGCTTTTTGTTTGCCATTGTCCAATACTTCAGTATAACAAGAAAGTGAAAGACCTCTGTGTCATTCAGGGACTCCAAGGAAAGGATTTTATGGTGAGTACCAAAAAATTATTTTTTTTTTTGTCCTACTGGATGTGAATACACAGCAGGTGTATTAACTAAGAAGCCTGTTTTTATTTATTTTTTATTTATTTATTTTTTTTAGGAATTGAAATGCAGCCTTATATTCCAATGGTGTTGCACCAACTTGTAGAAATCATTAACAAACCCAACACGCCAAAGACTCTTTTAGAGAATACAGGTACCCTGTGCCAACTGTTTGAAGAGCGAGTGTTTTTTTTTTCTAAAGATGTGGGAGTTTTTCTGCTTTTTATACTCATGATCACTTCTTTAAATGCCAAAATGTTTACAAGCCACAGTTGTTTTGCAGTTCGCAACATTTAGTAGTTATCAAAAGAAAATGTTCCCCAATGCTGTACATCCTAGAAAGAATAAAACACTTTGTATTGTAACCATTTATTTACTCCATGTGGCCAAGCCACTTTTTCCAAATACATCAGTTTCTCTTTCACAGGGAAAAGGAGTGTTGACTTGTCCTTAATTGTCTAGGACAGGGGTCTCCAAACTTTTCAAACAAAGGGCCAGTTTATTGTCTTTCAGACTTAAGGAGGGCCAGGTTGTGGCTAGTGGGGATAGAAGGAGTAGTGCCCCATTATTGGTGTCAGTGGGAGGAATAGTGCCCCATCATTGGTCTTAGTGGGAGGAGTAGTACCTCATCATTGGTTTCAGTGGAGTAAATAGTGCCCCATTGTTGGTGTCAGTGGGAGGATTAGTGCCTCTTATCATTGGGAGGAGTAGTCCCCCCAAGGGCCAGATAAAGGCTAGCAGAGGGGCGCATCGGGCTTGCGCTCCACAATTTGGAGACCAGTGGTCTTGGAAAAGGACAGCTAAGGCATTTCTCATTTCCATGTCGTGAGTAATTTCCATGTCAGTTAAAGGGTTAAAATAGTCTGTTTTTTCTGATGGCTTAAATGTGGTCACCAAGAGTTATTCTTCATACATTTGGCCCACAAAGAAACATACGCACACCTAGGATGCATATGTAAGCGATCGTGTCACACATATTATGTCTGATCGCACACACCAGAGTGAGGAATAATTCCAGGGCCATCATTTTACAGTCGTCTCTAAACTGATAACCTGTAAACATTTTTAAAAAATTGCTGATGTGCTATTACTACAGTTTCGTAAGTTGTAGTTTTTCAGGTGCATGGAATTGTGAGGCCTGACTTATTTGATATTTGCTTTACAAAATTTTATCTTTTAAATTAAAAAAAAAAAATGGATAATGTGTTTTTGTACACTAAAATTTATTTTTTCTGCAAAAATTGGTTTGATAAAGTTGAGCAAATATCTTTAACGACTTCAAAAATGTCTACTACCATATTTTATTCTACAATTCCTCTGCTTTCTAAAAATGACGTATTTAGCTGTTTAATTTTTCAGGCCAAAAAGTTTAATTTTAATTTGTTCAGCACCTAAAGGGTTAAAGCTCAGCTCCAGCCAGGCTTCTTTGTTTTATATTTAGATATGGACAGAGTCAGAAATTAAATGAACCTCTGTTTTTATTTTCAGGTGTATGTCCTCATTAGGAAGGTTTCCCCTTGCTTACTGTCAGGACAGAAAGTGAAAAATTCCTTTCATTGCTCTCATTTCTTGCCCTGGTGCCACGGGGTAGGAATGGAGAGGAATACCATGGCATTATGAACAACAATAAAAACAAATTACTTGAGTTTTTATTCTTACAAGTCTAAAAATATTATCGTTTTGGCTGGAGTTAGGCTTTAAAGTGGACTTTCAATTAGAGATTTTTATATATATATAGTTATATTAGTCCAAGCTGGACCAATGTATCAATGTATAATACCATATCTGGCTGAAGCCATTGAAAGCTGGAAATCACTGAAGTGTAAACACTGCTACTCCAGTGATCTCCACTTGCTTCTGTGTCCCATGCTGAGTGACTGGCCTGACGCATGCTGAACACAGGAGGTTAGCTGCTCAGCACGAGTGCCTTTCAGAGACTTCTTTGCATTTTCTGAATGAATGCAAATCATTCTCTGATTGGATGAGGTGGAAAGGTGGGCCAGTGATAAATGCCACCTGTTCTGAGTGGCTAACTTCCTGTGTTCTAAATGCAGCAGGCTAGCTGCTTAGGACCCAAAAACAAGAGAGAACAATGGAGTAGCGGTGTCTAATTCAGTTATTTCCAGCTTCCAGGACCAGGTATGATATATATGTAGTTACATTGGTCCAAGCTGGACCAGTGTAACTGTCATAAATATACCATACCTAGAATTCATATTGATGCCAGGGAACTTTTAATTTTCATTGATAACTATAAAAAGGTTTAGAAATGTTGAGTCGTGCTTCTTTAGATTTTCTACAGCTTTACTGTAACAGACTGGACTTGAACATTTTATTGTCTTTTTTTTTTATCAAATGTGAATTTAAAGTAGAAGTAAAGACAAAAATAAGGTTTAAAGCCTTGTCCTCCCCTTTGCTGATAATCATGCTACACACGGTTTGCACTAAATTATACTTTTTTTTTTTTTTTACCCCCTCAATAGTTTGGAGCGGTCACGTGATTGCACACCTCCATCACCGTGCATCCGTGAGAGGCCTGGCAGCAGTACTGAATTCACTTCGCTGTAATGTCACCCGCCAGCTTCCAGTTTTCTACCATTGTCAAAGGGGGAGAGCGGTCCCACTCAGTAGCTGTAGCAAGCCTCTCACTGACACACAGCAAACTGTGTAGCCACATGACCGCTCCAAAAGAGAAAAAGAAAAGGTATTTACACTGTAATTTATTGCAAGTAGTATGCAGCTTATTTATCAACAGTGGGGAGGCAAGGCTTTAGTGTTTTAGCTTTTACTTCTACATTAAATGATCAGAAAACTTCCACATTTACAAACTAATGCATTTTTGCAGTGTGTTAAGTTTATAAAGAGAATGCCTTTTGTCACGGAAGCTCAATGTTGTCCGTTACAGCAGGGTTTTTAGCCTGTGAATTGTTTTAATCCTGTGTGATTGGAGATGGTGTATAGCAGAACTATAATCTCCAAGCCATAGTAGGGAAATAGTTGATATATTTACAGCAACATTGTTGTAAGGCTCATGTACTGTTGTATTTTTGTTTAGTTGTTTTTTTGTATTTTCTTTTTATAAATGTTCAATGTGATGTGCTTTTTGACTAAAAGTTCACTGTGGGATGAAAAATGACGTAAGAGAATGCAACATGTGGTAGACTTCTCTGACCCCTTAATTTTTGCATTTTGGGCTTGAGCTTTTGTGCTCTCTAAAAAAAGGCCTTTTCTGAGCAGAGCAGTTAAGATTATCTGGTAATATGCAAAAAGGTCCTGGAGCTTCTCTTGCTGTCTGGAAAAAGTAAATGTTCAAATGCAATATTTCACAATCACCAGACTACATTTAAAAAAATAACTAAGAGGTTTAGTCCTGAAGAAAATGTACACTGCTCAAAAAAATTAAAGGAACACATTTTAATCAGAGTATCGCATCAAGTCAATAAGGCCCCTGAGATATTGATCTGCTCAGTTAAGTAGCAGAGGGGATTGTTAAGCAGTTTCAGCTGCTTTGGTGTTAATGAAATTAATAGGTGCACTAGATGGGCAAAAATGGGACTACCCCCAAAACAGAAATGGTTTTACAGGTGGAGGCCACTGACGTTTTTTCCCTACTCTTTTTGACTGTTTTTCACTAGTTTTGCATTTGGCTAGGGTCATTGTCACTACTGGTAGCATGAGGTGATACCAGGACCCTACAGAGTTTGCACAGGCAGTCCAACTCCTCCAGGATAGCACATCAATACGTGCCTTTGGCAGAATGTTTGCTGTGTCTCACCATTTTGGTGGTGGATCAGTGATGGTCTGGGAAGGCATATCCATGGGGGGTGCACTGACCTCTACAGGCTAGACAACGGCAACCTGACTGCCATTAGGTATCAGGATGAAATCCTTGGACCCATTGTCAGACCCTATGCTGGTGCAGTGGGTCCTGGGTTCCTCCTGGTTCATGACAGTGCCTGGCCTCATGTTACGAGAGTATGCAGGCAGTTCCTATAGAATGAAGGAATTGATACCGTTGAATGTCCACCATGCTTGCCTGACCTAAATCCAATAGAACACCACTGGTATATCATGTTTCTGTCCATCCGGCGCTGCCAGGTTGCACCTCAGGCTGTCCAGGAACTCAGTGATGCCCTGATCCAGATCTAGGAGGAATTACCCCAGGACACCATTCATCTCATTAGGAGCATGCCCCAGCGTTATCAGACATGCATACATGCATGTGGGGGCCATACAAACTACTGAGTATTTTTACTTGCTGCAATGAAATTTCAGCAAAATGGACTAGCTGCTCCATCATTTTTTAACTGGTTTTTAGGGTGTCTTTGAATTCAGTCCTCTGTAGGTTGATAATTTTCATTTCCATCAAACAATGGGGCATCCTTGCATTCCTAACACATTACCCAGTCCATATCCATATAGATATCCAGCAGGATATTTTTCCCCATTGAGATCTGATGTGTTTTCAATGTGTTCCGTTAATTTTTTTGAGCAGTGTATATGTATGAGATGAAAGCCAATGAATCAACCATTTAAAGTAGCCCTGTCACCACATGGTACCTTGTAGACACAGCCCAAGCTGTAAAAGAAGAGCATGTTTACCTTTTCAGAGGCCCTTCTCTTCAAATTTCACCGCTGCAGGTATTACACTTTTGGGTGCGACGTATACCTGCTCCTTCCACAGCATACTTTTGTTCCACCCAATGACTCGTATGTCACTGTCAGACATTTGAGTCTGAAGGAGGAACCACATCATCCTGCCAGGGTAGCAGGTAATCATAACACTTGGAAGGGAAAAATTCCTGCAGTGGCCGAGGAGCAGCAGTGTAACTATTCGAAAACACACACCACAGAAAAGTATACATTTATCCCCTTCTTTTCCAGACTGGCTGTGTTTACAAGCAACAGTACGGTTATTTTATTTTCTATACCTTTTTTAATTTTTTTTTATATACACCAGAACTGGGTGCGGAAAACCAGTGTTCCGTGCACGTATCCCACACCGTGTTCAAGCACACTGCATTAGTTAACGACACCCCAAATGCAGATTGCAAATGTGCATTTTCCTGCACCGAATTGTAAGTACCATGTGATCCAGTTGCAGTGCAGTTTTTTTTTTTTTTTCCTTCTATTTATAAAGTTGTCCATGCACAACTTTTGGTGCAGATCGTGATTGCTGTGCCTGGATCCTGCAGACTTTCTCAGGACATCATACAAGCAGGCATTTACTGAATGACAGGAAAGATCAATTGACTCCGTAGAGCGTTCACCAGCACCCTGGTAGTTCATTAAGAACTACAAGCTGTCAGTTGCTAACCATAGCTGTAGTTCTTCCATTCACAGAACTATGTGAATGAATGACGTGGCCATGTGGGTGGAGCCCTGCACAGCCACGTTTTTATTAGTGACAGCGAGTGCAAGGAGAAGATCCCTGGCTTGCGGTCAAAGGGAGACAGAGTATCAGGGAGTGGCTGCAGGAACGGGAACATGTTGCATGTTCCACCCTAAAAACGATTGGAACATGTTCCAAAGGTGTGAAATTAACCTTTAATGCAGTTTTTTTATTATAGGCAACCTCTATATACTTTTTCCCATTCTGTCTTTTAAATGAATAAAGCAGTTTCCCAGGGAATGGTACTTGATCTGTCTGGGTGGTAAATAGCAGTGCTTTACATTTAAAAAGAGGAATTCAATAGATCCTTTTTATTAAAGCACACGTCAGGTTCTGTTAACATGCTTCTGCTCTCACCATTCTCACCAAGTGAAAATTTTTTGTTTGAAGATAGGTGGGAGTAAAACAGAAACTGCCATAGATGGATGAAAATTTGGCTGGTCCCTGCTGAAGCTGCAGAATTTCGATCCATCTATGGCCAACTTTACTCTCTACAACATACTGCAATTTAACAGGGTTCCTACCAAATAACCTGTGGAGCTTTCTGCACTAGAATAAGGCAATACAGAGTGTAGACAGGTTATGTTGACACTTCTGATCATTGGCTTTTTGGGAGAGAAGGTTTTCTATTATGTTTGGATATGACAGAGCCATTATGGGAATCTTTAGCAGACACTGAGTGCGGCAGGAAAGAAAAACTTGGCATCTTTTACACTACCGAGCAAATATCTGCAGACATAGCTGCCACAGTCGAGGTGATAATGGCAAACATCCCACAGTAGATTTACTGTCTGCATAGTTACATGCTGCTCTTGGGTATTGCAGTGATTGTGATGGTTTTTTGCACCACACAAGCTTTGCTTATGGAACAGTATGTACATTAAAAAATACTGAAATATTCTAGTTTAAAATACAACTCAAACCAAAATGATTTTGAAGTTTTGGGATAGATTCCCTGTTGTTTTTTATTGCTCTTTTATCTATGTCCCCATTGGGAATACTTTCTCTCACTTTCTGTACTGCAGGCAAAACAGGAAGTGCGACAGCCATTAACTTTTGATTTCCCCTCATATTTTGTCCCACATAAAAAAGACAGAAGGGCAAACTGTGATTAAGTAATGATCCCACATTGAGCTTTTAAACTGAAAGAACATCATCTGCTTTTAATTGCATGCTGTCATCAGACTGTTCACAAATGCCTGTTTAATGGGAATGTTGCATAGTTTGTGTCACCTGAACATGGGTTTTGTTTTATGCTGCTTTCTATACAGATCTGCTGAGTTTTTAGTATTTGTTTACTTTGCTTACAGAATTTTTAAATTACTTCCAGCATCCCCTCTCATTTCTCTTGTCTGGACAATTAAATCACCCCTAACGAGAGAGCACACCTAAAATGCACAGACTGAAATAAAAGAACAATATGATTATGTTTAAAAGCATTTCATTCTTCTAGTGCTTGGAATTAGTTTTCACAATACAATTTTTGCAATACCTGTTTTTACACTATCATCTTGGCTATATACTTACTAGGTTTCCTAGTCTCCTTTTGCCTCTTTGAAATAACTTGGCTTTTGATATTTGTATATGTATATTCAAATCCCCACCTTTTATACAGTGTGTGCCGTGAACGTGCTTAACTCCATAAAGGGCAGGTATTCCTGCCGCAATACACGTGCAAGTTGGTTTTGACAGTTTGACCAGTCACTTGGGTCTTTTTAATGCATGCACTTTCTGGGATTTGTTTCTGGGAGTGAGCGCTGAGCAGCTTCTGCACTAGCCAGATTTGGATTATGAAGCTGCTGAGTCCATCCCTTTTGCTCTACAGTAATGATCTGCTTGATCCTATTGGTATCACTTTCCATGACAAAGTATATCTAAACCCAGGAACAAAAAATTAAGCGGAACTAAACCCACCAATTTAACTTCCTTGAATAACTGTAAAGTGCCAAACACATTGCATTGTGGGAACAAGTGATTTCTGTTGAAAGCTTTTGCGTGTCACAAATAGAGCAACCCATTCAAACCATTGGGCTGCCCTATGCACGTTTGTCACTCGAAAGAAACTCCTCCTTTTAGGGTGACACGCTTAAGGTAATTTTTAAATGCACATTTTGGCGTAAATCAGTCTCAGCAGAATTGCAATGCATACTGGGTGCCATGAAGGATAATGCCACCCAAGCATGCATCGGTCGTTTTACTGCAATTTGGAATTGCCAGCTGAATCACTGCGACTCTGCCAGCAATCCCAAATCTCCACGTGTGAATGCAACCTCATAGTTTCTAGTGTGCTTATTGGCTGCTCCCAGTTGAATTGTCTAGCCATCAAATAACTGGTGTCATAACTGAAAACCTGCAGCATCATGGTTACTGCAGATCAAGCAGAGGCTAAGATAGCAGTGTTTATGGCTGTAAAGGATGGGATTTATTAGTTCTGCTTTAAAATATTGCAGCTTATCAAACAGTTCTTAGATGTATTGACCCTCCCTTTTTTTTTTTTATTATTATTATTATTTTTGCCCAAGTCAGTAAGAGGAATTTACAAAGACTGGATCAGCTGTGCATTGCAACCATTCAGCTTCCACTTTTGAAAGCCTAAACAAGTTAAAATAGAAGTTGATTGGTTACTATGCTCAGCTGCTCCAGATTCTGACTGCTGGAGTTTGAATATATTCCCACAATGTTCTTTTTACTTCTCGTGCGCTAAACTTAATATAGGCTATAGTAAATGTTCTTGCTATGGTATGGAGATGCAAGGTAGCAGTGGTTGTAGTCCAAATAGGAGAATAGCCTAGGGTGGTCCTACACCTCACAGATAAAGTTCAGTGGAACTTGTCACCTTTGGAAAACAAGCATATTACTGGCTGGTTTACCAGGTGAAAATAAATAAAAGCTTGAATAAAGGAAACTAATGCAGTCACCACATCTAAGTATTAGTAAGCTTTTATGTACACATTTTTGCTCTTGAGTTTAGATAAGCTCTAACTCCTCACCCTGAATATTGTTTAACTCTAAGAAAATGAAAGGAATCCCTTGTCACAAACATTTTCAAGAATGACAGATGCGTAGTTCATTGCTGGTGTATTTTTGAGCCATATTCTGTCAATGTAAGCATGACCTTACTGGCAAGTCATAGGTGGGTGCACAAAAAGAGCAGTTTTTCTGTAGTTGTCTAGCTTTGCCTAATGCTACTTGCAGGATTTCTCTGGACACAACAAAATTTATCAATTAGTGTCTGTCCATCTGGAAACAAATGATTCTGGATCATAGTCGATTTTGGGGTGTATGCCTTTTAATGCATGTAAGCATGTCCCTTACACAGCATAAAGGTTTTTTCTAGAAAGAAAAAAAAACAGCATAATTTTTTAGTTACATTCAGCTTGTGTTCCTTTTGACCTTTTTTTCTGAGTTGCTTTTGCAGGCACGTTGGCCCATGGGAGAAGAGAAAACCTAGTGTAAACAACTTCTCCTGTACACAAGCCCTAGTGCTGAGGCTTAAAGCAGAGCATGCATGACTTTTTGGTGCCTTTGAGAAAGAGCTGCAGTAATCTGAAGCTAAGTTGCATGTGCTATTCAGTGCACTTGCTAATATGAAATAAAAGGAAAAGTCCCAGAAAGCAGTCAGCACACAGGCTCCATTTTTTGCTTCTTAAAGATGCCCGTCTGCTCCTAGATTTAACTGATTAGCTCTTGATGACTGCTTGTATATCAGGCCTATGTGTTACTTCTCACTAGCAAAAAACAGATCTGATGGGGCTTGATAAAATATTACAAATCTCTAGTGAAACATCATAGTGTCTGATTGTGGCCCAGTTTGGATTGCTCAGTCCTTGATTGCATTTTCAGTAATAGCAAAACAGTGACATTGCATGTGTTGTAAAAAGTGGTATCATTTGATTATTAAAGGGGTTAAAAAAATAGAGTAAGGCATGGATCAGATGCCTAGAAGATAGATCACTGACAATATGGAACTTCAGAGCTTTTATCAGTAAATGGTTACGGCTGTAAAATTAATAATTAGTTTTCCATATTTGTGCATTCAGTCTGTCAATCGAGCAAAGTAAGCTCTGTGTTTTAGGTGTTCTCTCTCATTTGCTTCCCCTTCTTCATTCCCCTTGCCTTCCCCTACCTTCCAAACCTCTAACCTTCTTCAGATGGTTTTGCCATGTGTCACTACCTTTGCAAAGGCAGTGCTCATAAACTACACTAGTGATATCTTATGTTTATTATCATACACAGATTCTGTTTTCTGTTTCTGAGTTATTTGTTGTTTTTTTCTTTATTTTTTTCTCCTCCCCCCCTCATTTGCTCATGTCTTGGTTGGCGTTTGGTGGTGTATAACCGTGATTGCGTTGCCTTAGCAATAACAATTGGTCGTCTTGGTTACGTTTGTCCTCAAGAGGTGGCCCCCATGCTACAGCAGTTTATAAGACCCTGGTGTGTATTCTTCAATCTTTTTTTAAATCATTTCTCTTCATGTTTTCTTTATAGTTCACATCTTTTGGATTTTTTTTTTTTTTTTTTTCTTCGTCAGTTATTACATGAAGTCATTTGTCAACAATGTGACTAATCTTGTCCTAGGTTTCGTCACTTTTTTTTTTCCTTTCAAACATTGTCATGTAAACTGTTACCTATTTCTTTGTTGTGGCTAACTAATTGATGATGCATGGGAGCATGGGATAAGATTGTCACATGCTTGCTGTGTCTAGAGCTTGTTGTATATCAAGTTTACCTGTAGTCTAGACATTGGAGGGAGCCATTTTGTGGATGTTGCCTCCTTTCTGAACTAGAAACTAGTGATCTCAATGTTAAAATACATTCTTCAACCCTCTCCCATGCGTAAACTACAGGTACACTTAAAGCGGCATCAATTGTGAATTGATAGAAATGATGCATGCATATATTCTGCACGCCAATGAGTTATGTCTTACAATACATTAGTTACATTGGCGACTTTCCTGAAATGTATTTTTTGTGGTATATGGCAGATTTAAATATACAGCTGTTTTTATTTTGCTACATTAAAGATATTTTAAGGCAGTGGTCCATACTGTGGGGACTTTTGTTAAAAAGAGGACATACACAGGCAGATGGAGCCACCTTAGATTCCTCTTCTTTGTCTGGCTGCCACATGTACAACAGGTTAGACAATCAATGCTGATGGCCAAATATGATAAATAGTCAATACGTAGTCAAAATTTACTTGGGTCACACATGCCAGATCATCTCTCTCCATGTTCAGATGATGTCCCAACAGGTAAAGGTCAATTGCAGCTGAAGTGTGCTGGGTATTGGTAGAGTAGGGGTTAAATTATCCTACTCTACAGATTCTGTATGTGAATGGACATTTCAATAGTGCCTTATAGTGTGTGAGATTTGCGATACCATTTTACTTTTCTTTTGTTTTGTTTTTTTTTCCCTTTAGCCTGTTAAATGTATTTTTCTGAAAATTAAAAGAAAACACCAGCACTTCAGCATCTTTGCATTTAGAGTTTTAACACTTGCTTCTATATCTTTCATATTATGGTAAAGTTGAGGGTAGTGTAACTTGTCTGGGATTTCCTTAGGTGTACATCATTACGAAACATCCGGGACAATGAGGAGAAAGATTCTGCTTTTCGTGGAATTTGTACTATGATCAGTGTTAATCCTGGAGGTGTTGTTCAGGTAAAAATGGCCTTGAATTTTTTTTTTTTTTTTTTTTATTGTTGCATCTAAAAATTTTGACATTTATCTTATCATTCCTGTGTACACTTCTAACAGAGCAAAAACATGCTCCTCACTTTAGTTATCCGTTCTTTGATCTATAGTATTAAGTTGTATATATTTTTATTATGGGATTGGACAGGTATACTATAGTTTTCATAAATGTTTCTAAAAGAAAACGTCATTCGCCAAAGTAGTACTTGGATATTGATCTCATTTTTATAATTTTCAGGATTTTATATTTTTCTGTGATGCTGTTGCATCGTGGATTAATCCAAAGGAAGATCTTCGGGACATGTTCTGTAAGGTATTACACAAACTTCAGTTCTAATTTTTCCAAATTATTGACAAGACTCTTCTGGACTTTTAATATCCTAGTTTGTTTTTTAATTCTGTTACTGTACAGCACTGCAGTTTAACACTGTTACGGAACAGATGGATAGTAGAGTTATTTCATGTGCTGGAAATGTAGTTACCACTCACCATTTTTTGATTGGCATTATTTAAATTTTGTATTTTCTTTCTGTGTATTGCCTATAGAATCCAGTGGTGCTGTAAAGAGTACTTTTCCTTATTGGCTCTTTAAGAAGAGCAAAAATATTTCTCTCTAATGTAATTTAATACCAGAATTTTTAAGGGGCAAACACTCTCCAATGCTCTGGAGCTGCTATATTTGGTAGCTTCAGATAACATAGAGAAGCCATCGTTTCATCTTTTTCCTCACAATTGTTTACTGAGAAGCGGTGAACCCAGTATTAAGATGTCACATGATCAGGAAACTGCAGGTTGACAGGTTGGATATGGAATCTGCATAATGATGTGGATGGGGCCACCAAAATATAATACAGAATATTATGTTTACATATATTCAAGCTAGTGAACAGAGGGGACTAATGGTGTTTTAGCCAAGGCATGTATTCAGCTGCTTCGTTTTGATTCTGCAGTCTAAGGCAATGAAATTTGATTTTCTTTGTAGATTCTTCACGGATTTAAAAACCAAGTAGGGGATGAAAATTGGAGACGCTTTTCAGACCAGTTTCCACTTCCGCTTAAAGAACGTCTTGCAGCATACTATGGAGTTTAACCTAGATGTGCTCTAGCTGCAGTCTCACCGTTAGGGGTAAGTAGCATTGCAAAATGGTATATAATGTTCTAGCAATTCCTGCCTCTACTAATGTTAAATTTGATCTTAATCTACTAGCTCTTTGGTTGCTTTGTAAGACTTAGTTGTAAAGGCTCAAGGTTTTTTTTTACCTTTATGAATTTTATACCTCCCATCATACTTACCTGAGCTCCCTCTCAATCCAGCGATGTGCGCAAGAGCAGTGGCTCTCCGGAGACTCTTCCTCCTCTTTGGCTGAGACAGCAGTAGGAGGTATTGGCTCCCACTACTGTCAGTCACAGCCAGTGAGCCAGTGTAGAGCGAGCGATTGCAGGGCCCAGCCATGTTAGTGTGTGAATGGACACAGATAGCAGTGGCTTGGGAGATCCCATAACATGCTGCTTGCTGTGTGGGCAGGAGGGAGGCACCAGGAGCACTTGCGGGGGACCCCAGAATAGGAGGATTGGAACTGCTATGTGTATAACCCACTGCACAGAGCAGTAAGTATGATATGTTTGCTTACCTGAGCCCCATCACGTTCCTCCTCAGAGGGCTGATCGATAGCAGCTGGAGCCATTGTCTTCTACTGCTGTCAGTCAAACTCTGGTGAGGGGTTGGGCTGTTCCCTGCTGTCTGTGCCTATAGACACAGGCAGCAGGGCTCAGGAGCAAGTGCCCCCATAAGAAGCAGCACCGGACGAAGAGGAGCCAAATGCGCCCTCGGGGGACCTGAGAAAAGGAGGTTTGAGGCTGTTGTGTGCAAAACCATTGCACAGAGTAGGTAAGTATAACATATTTGTTCTTTTAATTAAAAATAAAATGACTCTTTACAATCACTTTGCGATAATCCTTTCCTCTGAGGAACCTAAAGATTGCCATTTGTAGCCTCCCCCTCTGAGAGATATGTACTTGGCTGACCACTTGTTTGTTTAATCTAGTTCACAAATCCAAAACAAATATTGTAGATAAGGGATTTTGACTTTATTCTGACTAGCTATGCATAATTGTTTTAGGTCAGTGATTCAGAAAGTATTGAGAGTCAGTATACTAGCCAGGTAATTACCTTTTTCTAGGAGATCCATATTGGCAGCAACAATATTTCCTTTTGAGAAAAGTTTCAGCATAAAGGTGTTCTAAAGCTTTAAGGTTTTTCACTTTAATGCATTCTCTGCATGAAGGTAAAAAAAAAAAAACTGTGTCCATGACCTCCATCTCCCCCTTATACTTACCTGAGCCGATTTCATTCCAGCCCTGTGCCTGAGAGCAGCAGCTCTCTCCCTCCTCACAGGGCAGATAGCAGCGGGAAGCTCCTATCAAATCCTGTGATATGGGGTCTGGGTTGAGCCCTGCTGTTTGTGTCTAGGGATGCAGGCAGCACAGCTCAGGAACGAGCATGCATAAGTCTAAGTGCCCCCATAGGAGTTGGCTTCCTATGGGGGCACTTACCAAAGAGGAGCCAGAAGCTCCTGTGGGGGACCCCAGAGGAGTAGGATAAGGCTGCTTTGTGCAAAACCATTGCACAGAGCAGATGAATAGAAAATGTTTGTTTAAAAAAAAAATAAAATATATATATTTTTTTTTTTTTTTTTGCATTTTTCCAGTTGACTATTGTAAAGGGTTCTTAATTTTTTTTTTTAGATATGGGGTTACAAAACTAGGGGTGGGTTTTAAATGTTTTGGCAATTCAGGCTTCAACTAAAATTCGAGCCATGCATGATCAGATTTACTCACTGAATGGATCTATTTTTAAGGTTACCCCACACTTATCTCTTAAGCATTTATTGTAGATCCTATCTGTAAGTGTGTGGTTTTGCAGACCCAATGTTGTATAACGCCAGGTGACAAAACCTAAATTGCTTTAAAAAGCTTGTTCACTTATGTATATTAATTTTTTTTTTTTCAATTTTTTTTTTTCCCCCTCTCATAGGTCCTTCGGTCTGGGAGACAGCGGGGGAGCCTCTGCACCCAGGGAAAAAAGCTACCCTTTAAGAGGGGGGAAAGGGCATACCAGTAGGAAACACAGTACAATCCCAAAGCCTACTGGGAGGGGCGGGAGGGAGGTGTTGCCGTCACTGTATTAAGTCGATGTTGGGAAACGTTTAAAACCGTCTGGAGCCTTTGTGGGTGGAAATATGTCTCCTTTACAATTCTGCACTGGATGTGAAGAAGCAAATTCTCATCGCCAAACAGCACATTCTGGTATATGGGGAATTGTACTTGAGTACCTTTATAATTGAACTCTAGAGGGTTAAGTAAGAAGAAACTAATTTTTGCACACTTCAGAGGAAATCTTAAGAATGGGGGATTATAGCAGTAAATGGCATTTATTTTAAAGCAAAAGGGTTGCCTAACTATCCCACTAATTGGGAATTTTCTGTGTTTGCATGTTAATGAAGACATAAATAGATGAAGTTGGCAAAGTTAAACACAGCTTGCTGCGCATATTAAGAGCAGATAATTGCAGTCTGCACTTCAAATGCCTGTGAAATAAGTTAAGATCTACTGCATAAATTGATGTCCACCAAAATGCCAAATTTAGTATTTTTTTTTTATATTATTTATTTTTTTTTTCTCTTCAGGAGGGGAAGGAACAAGTAAAGAAAAAACTCCTTATTTTAGTTTACGAAGAACCTTTAATATAAGTATATATTTTTTTAAGAATCACTCCTTTGCTGAATGATAATTTGCAATTTTTTTTGGCAGCAATCGTCAAACAATAGACCAAGGCATATTGTTTCTTCCAGTTTAGAGGAGAGTATGAACTTTTTTTGCACCAGTGTCGTGAGGGTTTTCCTTCTCCCAGGGCATGCAGTCCAGGATTCTTGTAGTGGTTAAAAATGAATAATTTTTAGTGGGGTTAAGTTTGTATCACATAGTAAGGTAGGCCAACATTACCTGTATGCGCCCCCTTTTTTTTTTTTTTTTTTTTGCGGTTAATTCATTAAGATTCACCCTGCATCCATATTGTCTGTTTTAGGTATCATAGATGATTGCTTTAAGTGCTACAAAATACGGTTAAACCTTTTGTTTGTCAGCAGGGTCTACCTCACTGCCCTGCAAGTCTCATTGTTTGGGAAGGGAGGGTTAAATGAGAATCTCCAGCATCTGTTAGGAAAAAAAATAAACTTCATATAGCAACATGATATGGAAAGCTGGTTGAATTGTGCAAAAACCTGTTTGCCTTCGTGCTATCAGTGTGATGTGCTTTCTGCATGATTAAGTACTAGTGATTACTAAAAGTTACACGGAGTAAGATCAATTTAGATGGCGCATACTGAAAACTTTAGACAACAAGTTAATTGCTATAATTTTGTATTCATTGACACTTCACAACATATTACCCATCATAAGTTCTTTTTCATATGTTTTTTGTCAAAGCATGATCATAAAGCATTGATTTTGTAGATGTGATGCAGGGTATATGCACTGTATCAATGGCGCATGTTGGTGGCCCTATGTACCCTGAGCTGAAATATTTGGGGTACAAGTTAAAAAGCTACAGAATGAATGTTGGGTTCTGGTTCCTCTTTACATCCCCTAATTAATTTGTCCAGCTCTTTTGTTGCTTCCCCCCCCTCATTTGTATTCCTGTGAATAAACCCTTATTAAGTTAACCTTTTATTTTTCTTTCCATGTGTATTTTCTTATGTACTGTGAATGTGAAAACTTTAACTGGCACTCTTTAATAGAAGTGCCGATGTAAAAGTGCAAGTCTTTAATAATTCAAGTCGCCTCAAAGGTATCCCATGATGATGAAGAAAAGTAACTGACTTAAACTCTGCCGGTCAGAGCCGAAACAGACAGTTTTCAACTTTCTTAGAGCAGATTCTAAAAACTTGCAATGTTAAGCCATAACCATTTTAGTAAAATATTTACTTTGCCCTGAACTCGTTTTGCAATTAAAACATTTAAATAAATTTAGTAAGAAATGTTCTTTACTTTGCATGGTTTTATGAATATCTATTGCTTGAAATGGTAACTGAGGACAGGTGGGCTAAAAAGAAAATTAATTTAAGTGGGGTGCTGGGAAGCATTTAGTCTTGCTGTGGCAAATCTTTGGCAAGTAAAAACATTTATTTTATATCTTGAAAAGTGATGGAAAATGCTGTAAGGGAATCAAAGGCTTAGAAAGCAAAACTTTCCCCTTTCTTGTTTCATATTTTGATAAACAAAAAAGTGCATTTGTGTTTTAAAAAACATGGTGAATGCTGTTAATTTACCTAATAAATTATTGGTATTAATAATGCTGCTAAGGTAGTAATCTAATAAAATGTAAACGTTTGCCAACTCAACCCAACTTGTTTCTTTGGCAAATTTTCAGTTTTTCAGTGCTTAAGTTCTCATTGTCTCTAAATGGCAGCACAAAGTTGTTTTTGTTTATTACTGGTACTGGTTAGCATTAAAGTGTAACTAAAGGAAAAACTGTTTTAGTTTTGGATAGAGTGGAGAGGGATTAAAACACCTGTCCTTTTTTATTGCTTGGTTGACATCAGAACATTAATAGAGAGGAAATCTTCCAATGAGGGGTGATAGTTCTGATGACACACCAGAATTCCCTCATTTGGGGGGGGTTTTATTTCCTCATGTTCTGTTTTACCTATGGGACAGGAAGTGAAGTAAAATGTCTCCTCTGGGGCATAGATTGCAAAAACAGGGGTTATAACCCTCTTGTGCACTATCCAAAACAGTTTTTTTTTTCTTTAGTTACAGTTTAGCCATTTACTATTTTACAGACGTTCTTACTTGATTTGATTGCCAGAGATAATTTTTTCATTGTAGATCTTGAGTTGTGACAAGCTAAATGTATAGCCATTATAATTTGTAGCTTACGTATTTTTAGATGTATTGACAGTTGTCCATTGCAATTAATTTGATTTGTCACAAAACTTTGCCAGCATAAGAACGTTATTATAAAACCATTCAAATGCAAAATTTTTCCAAAACGAGTTTTTTTTTTTTTTTTTTTTTTTTTTTTTTTAAACC